AAACCTGGTATCTGTTCTCTATCTGCTGTGCATAGGGTGAACTTAAATTGCAGGAGAAGATAAGTCAAGCTTAGACATGAAGAAGAAAATAATATTTTTAAATCCTTACTACCATTGAGTTGTCCTGAGGCTGTTGAATGCTCTTCAAGCATTTACAAGAGTTCCTGTGTGTTCTGAGCGCTGATTTCTGTGTGCTGGTTGCTTGACATTGTTGAAGGCACTTGAAACTGGATGATTTATTCCATATCATAGAATGGTTAGGGTTGGAAGGGACCTTAAAGATCATCTAGTTCCCTTAAAGATCATCTAGTTCCAGCCCCCCTTACAAGGCCTGAGCTGTTAGGGATGGTCTAACACGTTGTTCTTCATGCAAAGTGTCCACTGTGGTTCAAATGGTGTCTTTTGCTTTCAAGGACCTCTCATGGGTAGAGCACGAGACAAAGTGTCCAAAAACATGGTCCTTGTGGGACTTGACTGAAGATGTGGGTGAAATGATGTTCAGAGAAAGGCTGTTCTCGTGGTTCTCAGCCACCAGGCCAGGGAGATGGAGGAAAGGGCCTCTTCTTGCCCAGCCTGGCTGGCCTTGGCATCCTCTTTGGTTGCTCCAGACTCAGAAAGGTAAAGCTGTGGAAATTGAATTTTTGGGTGACAGCTCAGTTCGTGTTTCTCCGAGTGACTCCAGGATTAAAAAGATAGTTAATGTAAAATGGGAACCAAATTCCTGTCAGTGACCAATGATTATTGATTTTACTTATAAAACAGTTGTGATGTTGCTGCTCAGATGTTCTAAAGCTGTAGGTTTCTGTTAACATGTTGCCATATTCAGGAAGCTGAATATTTAATCAAGTGATTCATATCTCCTGGTGATGGCAGCAAGAAAGGGGGTGGGGAATGGACATGGAGAGGCTTGGCAAGTTTTGCAAATTGCTAATAAATTTATTTAATGAAAAAAAAGCCTGGAATATTGAAAAATGCAGTGGCAGAGGTCCAAAATAGAAGGGCTCTTATTTACATGACTCACGGGACTATTAGAAATCCAGTCGTTGATTGGGCTGATGATAGGTGGTGACAATTCAGTGCACATAATGTAGCACAGAAGCATGCTGGGGAAGGTGGAAAGGAGTTCCAGCTGCTTTTAATTAGCTCTGTGCATTTCTAAGCCTCTGTAGCTCCTCCTTTTTCTTGAAGACAGCCAGGCAGCATTGGGTTTATAAAGAAAAACGACGTGACCTTGAGGAGCTGGTGGTGCAAACGCTGTACGTAGTGTTTCAGGGTGCAGTCAGCATCCTCTCCAGGAGCCCGTCGCAGCCTTCATCCTCTGCTGCTTTGGGGCTGCTGCCAGTCTGCCTGCGGGTGTAGTGGCGCTACTGGTGCTGCCTGGTGTTGTCCCAGTGCGTGGGCGAGGTGGTGGGAGCTCCTGCAGGAGGCTCGGGGTGTTTGTTGCTTTGTTTTCTGTGGTTGCTGTTGGCTCTTGCCTGCTGAGCATCTTTCCTGTTTCATTTGAGATTCATCAACAGCCGTCAGGGCATTTGCATTCAAAGACCATGCAGCTGCTTCAGTCCAACTGTGTTTATCTGTAATTAAATATTCCATTATCAATTAACCATTAATGCTTCCTAATGATTATTTTAAACCTGTGGGAGTCTGATGGTGAAAAGCTAGTAGTTACCTGCAGGTGAGCACGATGTTTTCCATTAGATGGGTAGCTCTAGCCATGTTGTTTCTCATGCATCAGAACATTTCTGCCCTTGACCCATCTCGTCTGGTGCTGGGCAACGTGTGCTTCAGTGGGAATGAACCCTGTGTCCTGCAGTTGTCCACTGCAGACCTGGAGGTGGCAGCTGAGGAAGAGGAATTGGAAGACGGGGATGCTCCTTTTGTGGTTG